CAGGAGAGGTAGCGCAATCACAATAGCTAATTTAATTAACCACGCCTATGTAATGAGACATCTATAAAAATCCAAAGGGAAGGACTGGGAGAACTTCTCTGAGGTCAAAACACAGAGAGTCCAGGAGAGATTGTCTATTTAGAGAACAGAGCTTATCAGCCCTTTCCACATACCAGTGCTGTATGCATCTTCCATCTGACTGACTGATGCTATCTCTAGGTAGATAGGTCTGGAATTCACTTGTATTATAAGACACTACGTTGTTATCCCAGAGTCTCTTTGTGGCTTATATGAGAAATATACAAATCAGAGATGATGCTTGAATAAAAAAATATTAAAAAAAAACTAGTAAAGAGCAAAGAAACCTTTTTTCTTCTCTTTATATTACTCCCTCTCACCTTTTTCATAACTTATTTGTACTAACTTATTTGAAAAGTATTTGTTGTTTAAGATTTAAGTTTATATTTGTAAAGAACACTTTAGCGCAACCTAATCACTTATACATTTTATGAAGCAGCCAATATATATACGAAGCATTGACTAGAAATGTGCATTTGCTTATTCCCAAAAGCAAAGGTTAGAGAAAGAAGAAAGTGAATGAGATTTTTGCAGATTTGGGATTTTTGTTTAGATATTAGAAAGGTTCACAGAACACCATGATCTAAGGTATAGAGGAAAAAAACAACACTGGCCTTCAAGGCCATCTTTATTAAAACTTCATCTCTGGGAGAAAAATATAGCAATCAGAAGAAAAAATAACCACTTCAACTTTTCAAATGGTGGCATGTCTGATGGGACTATGTTGTCATACTGTCACTGTCACTGTCCTCCCGTCGTTCATCGATTTGCTTGAGTGGGCCCAGTAACATCTCCATTGGAGACTTTGTTGTTACTGTGTTTGGCATATCGAATACATCACGGGTAGCTTGCCAGGCTCTGCCGTGTGGGCGAGATACTCTCAGTAGCTTGCCGGGCTCTCCAAGAGGGCCGGAGGAATCGAACTCGGGTTCAGCCAGGTTGGCTGCGTGCAATGTGTAAATAACTTAGTACAGGACAGACAGTTCTGGCCTGAGCCTTCAAGGCTCTGAGTTCTGATCTCAACAGACTGTCAGTAGGAAAGTGCTTCTTCACTGCGTTAAGCAGATTGACCAGATTAATGATGAATTCTTTTATATTTAGGATGCAAAACTGTATCAGCTAACTTGAATTGTTTTCCCCTGGCTGAACATTATTCATTGTAGCTCTTGTAAGTAATAAATACCCATACTTATGTTCTGGTGCATGACTAAACTATCTGGAAAATGTCATTGGTATATTATGTATTCTCAGTAATAATAAAAGCAAGTGTGATCCAGATAAGTTTGTAATGTTCTTCCTCTAGGCAACCTTCCCTAAATTTAGACATACAAAAACTCTCTTTTTTACATTGTTTCATAAAAGCTACATTCTTACATTTACTTTTTACTCTGCAGGATTGAATATGCTAAATTTACTTTCGTTTTTGTGATTTTATAAGCACTGTATCTAGTCATGAAGAGAGGGTGTATTGCTTTTTAATTTATGTCAAGGAAACTATTGAAGTATTAAAATTTTGTGAAGATGAGTTTATCTTGAAATCAAGGGCCTCCACGACCAAAATAAAATAATATATTTTTTATTAATATATTAAAAGTTTTTCTTCATTTTCTCTTGCTATTGTTGTGGCTATGACCAAAGATCACACACACTTTGTTGCTGTGATAATTTGCTTGTAATTCCTGCCATAGGTCACATGCTTTTATTATGATACTCATGCACATTTTGGCTACCCTGTTCCCTGAGGATTATACACTTTGTTGTTCCACCAAGGATTCCAAACAGCAGAGCTTCTGGAATAGTATCAGGGGTGGGGTGGTAAGGAGACTAAACTCAGAGAATGATAAAACTGAGGTCTGCTTTTGCCACTGAGCGGCCCTGGGGCCCTTAAACTTTTCTGCTAAGCAAAGAAATGATGATGGATGTCGCTTACCTATAAAGTACATGCTAAGCACATGTGAGACCTTAAATTCTGATAAACTAAGTGAATGATGATGAGCAAAGTGGATAGAGATGGAACTCTACAGTCAGTGTGCCCAGGATAGAATTATGGCTGTGTAATTTTAATGAATCACAAGGTTCTCCAATAACCTTGGAAAACACACTTCTGTCTTGGGACTTCAGTTCATTCATGAGTAAAATAAAGATGACAGCACCCACCACATCAGTTATTTGGTGAGGGATGATTAATCAATTAACTCATATTATTTCATACAATAAATTAACTTATAGTAAGAGTTCAATAACTTATTGATTAATTAAAATATACTTGAAGGCCTCTGACCATTTCCAGATTCACAAGTAGTGGTTCTATCCTTATTCTTCCATTTTCAATCATCATCACTGACCGTTTCACTTCCCAGCCAGATTCCTATTTAAATTTTTATTAATTTGTAATTTCTATTTATATATATATTTTTTAATTTTTTTTGGGGGGGTCACACCCAGCAATGCATAGGGGTTACTCCCGGCTCATGCACTCAGGAATTACTCCTGGCAGTGCTTGGGGGACCATATGGGATGCTGGGAATCGAACCCAGGTCAGACGCATGCAAGGCAAACGCCCTACCCGCTGTGCTATCGCTCCAGCCCCTCTATTTATATTTTTATCAGGTTGTTTCATATAAAGTAGTTTCAACACCATTTCTGTGATTTTTAGCAACATACGACTAATATTTTTGAAGTTACTGCTCCAAGTGGCTTATGAAGGCATTTTCCTAAACTAGGACACATTTGTCTGTAAAAACAACTCTGGAAGCAGGTGCTCACACATATAAATATGATTATCCACAATACGTGTATACTTAGAACATGAATAACACGTTTAGGAAGTCCTTCTAGAATTCAATAAGTATATTCACATATGTGTAACAATATTGTTAGTTTATGTACTGTATTTTGTTTCTACTGAGCTGTAGGCTCCAAAGTAGTACTTGTCACACCTTGATTGTGAGAGACTGGCTTTTGCTCAATGTTTCTCATTGGGGGAAGTACTGAGCCACGATTCTAACAAGACTCTGAACTACTTACTAGAGCCCAAACTATCGTAACTGACAAGTTATTTGTCTGATCCTGAAGCCTTACAGCAAATCACCGGAGACTTGCAGTATTGTTATTTTTTACAAGTAAGGAAGTATGGTTTAGGGAGGTTGAGTTGGCCTCAAGATTGAGTAGCTAGTAAATGTCAGAGACCAAATCAGTGTCTTCCACAGATCTACTTTGTAGCAATTATGTGGTATTAACTCCCACCCACACCCCTAAAAGAGGGTCAGACAAAGTCCAGCAGATAACCTAATGGAGTTAGGATGATTTGTTCTAACAGAAGCTACTCAAGAGTCTCAGTTAACAATTCCCTAAAGGAATTCTACAGGATCCCATCAAATTCTAACATTTCAGCCAAATTTAGCTCAGAGAATATGAAATTAAAGGGCATTTACCCCGCAGCATTAGCCTTCCTGTAGGTTTCTTAGACGCAAATGAAATGTTAATCCTAAAATCAAGCGGGGGCGGAAGGGGGGGGACTTTGAGAGGAAAAATTGTCTTAACAGCTCTATTCTAATACTGTTAACTTAAGGTGAATCGGGAGGACAGGACTGGCAAGTTTCATGCATGCATATAAAACGCATTCAAAGACTCCAGTGAATGGTGTTTGTGTTTATGTGTGTGCGCCTGCGCGCGCTGATTTTATTAAGCTTCCCCAGCCTACACTTCTAGCCCCGTTCTATCTGTCTACTCCAAGCCTTCTAATGAAAACGCTGTTTGTGATGATTACTAGTTGGCATTCCCTGCCGAAGATCAGTCTCACAGAGGCGTGATCCTGTGATGTAAGAAAGGCTATTCGATGCCTTAGCTAGCTGGTTCTGGGATCAGGGTTTAATTATGCTTCGGGGATGAGAACTGTGATCTCGCATCTAGACATTTAGAGTCACTGAGGGCGTCGTCAGCTCTACCTAGAGGAAAATACTTCATGCTCTCTGCCTGATTTCAAAGCAACGCAGCTTCCTGCTGTTCCGCCTGGGAGGCGATTCCACCCTTAGAAAACTGACCGAAAAGCCGGTGCGTTTAGCCTGGGGTGCCTGACTGTGGAATGGACAGATAGGAGCTGGGTGTTTCATCAGAGTAACTTGAAGCTTCAGGTTAGTAACCTGAAATCGCCGTTTAATTCAAAATTAAGAGAGGCGAACGCTCTGATTTTTTTTTTTTTACTTAGACTTCGGGACAATCCTTCTGACGAAGTCAGGTTGACAAATTTCTGATTTCATTTCCCGGAGAAGGAGCGGTGCCAGTCGATTTGGCAATGGCCAGTCGACTCCAGAGATCTCCCCCTCGCCCTCCGTCCACCCGCTCACCCAAGGTGTGTGCAAGGGAGAGCAACGCAGGGGAGGGGCGGGGAAACGCGAGAGGAATCAGATCATTACGCGAACTGCCTTCGGTCAGAGACGCGCTGCTCAGAGCTCCCCAGGGACGAGTTTCCACCTTTGTCACCTCTTCCAGCCCCTTTTCCTAGTCTGCAGCCTTTGGACCTGAGGTGCTCACCCCACGTGAGCGTCCCAGAGCCACCGCCCAGCCCCCACTCTTCTTAGGGGAAAACAAAACAAAACAAACAAACGATTGCAACCTTTCAGTTGGTCGAAAACGTCCCTGAGGCGTGGACTACTGGGATGGGCGTCGGCGAGAAAGATCATTTGACTTTTCGAACCGTGGCGAGGTTGGGTGGGGAAGGCGGTCAGAGAGAGGCGCGGGCAAAGCGTCAGGGAAGTGGCGGTGCCGGCAGCCCACCGGGCGCGAGCGACTCTGGTGTCAGTTCCCTATTGGCGGGCGTGGCCACGGGGGCGGAGCCTTGAGAAAGTCCCGCCCGCTTGGGCGCCGGGCGACCAATGAGCGGCTCCCGCACCTAGTACCCGGGCCGCGCTCGGAAACTCGGACTTGGTCCTGCAGCGCCTCTAGGCTGCAGAGCCGCGCTTCAACCACCTGCTCGGCGCAGCGTCCAGGGAAGCGGGGAGGAGACTGAAACGGGAGGGAAGAGGCGGGAGGGAGGAGGAGAGAAGCCGCTTACACACGCCTTCCAGTCGCTCCACTCAGAGCAGCCGGGAGATCGCTGCTGCCGCCGCTCCTCACACTGCCGCTGCTATTCCTGCCACCGCTGCTGCCACCTGAGGAGACTTCCAGGACCCCCGGCCTCCCTTGCCGCCACCCCCGACGATTCCTTTCCAGCACCAGGCTTTTGATGCACATTGCCACTACTGCCACTTAGCATCATTGCTACTATTATTTTTATTCCAAGACCCGGAAAAATCATAGTGCGGACAGAAAGAACTACGTCCACCTTTGCGAATTACTCAAGTGTCTCTGAGGAAGAAGGAGTCTGCAGGTCCCGGGAGCCGCTGCAGCCTCGGGAGCCGAGGGCGGCAGTTGCAAAGGGGGGAGGAGTTGGGGCATCGCCTGGTGGAAAGTTGCGTGCGGCCGAGCCCTGAAGGTGCCGCTCGACAGCCTGGGGGAGCTGTTTGTCTAGGAGAACCGTCTGCCCCCGCGTCCGGACCCCCGGGTGCGCAGGCCGTGTGGGGCCAGGGACGACGCCCCCTCCTGCGGCGCGGACTCTGTCAGCGGCCCCCAAGGAGGAGGAGGAGGAGGAGGAATATGGCTTCGAAGGCGGTCCCCTCCTGCCGTCTGGTTTTCTGCCTCTTGATGTCCGCTGCTGTCCTCAGGCCAGGTGAGAGGGATCCCCTGTACTGGCCTGGGGGAGTCGGGGGTGGGTGGGTTGGGATCTGGGTCAGTTTCCTAAGGTTCCCGGCCTGGGCCTCGCGCCCCCCGGGCCGTGAGCCCAGACGCATGGGAGAGGTAAGAGGACCGCGGTCCGGTCCGGAGCTGGCCAGTGGATCGGTCACTTGGGCCATGTTATTTGGCTCAAGTTTTGGGCAGCGATCGGGGGCCGCTGGGTCAATGTCCAGGAACTTTGGGTGAGGCCGGGAGCTGGCTCCAGTGGCCCGCGGGCAGGATTCCTCCGGCCCTACCCTCTTGCCTCGGCCGCGACCCCCCTACTCGTGGGCGAGCCCTCGTCCCCCGACAGTCTTCCCGGTTGCTGGTTATCCAAAGTCCACGTCACTGTGCTCCGGGCAGTTTTCCTTTCCCGTAGCTCTCGGAGGAAATCACCGCCGCACCTTTTCGTGATCAAACCTCCTTAACTTCCCCTTGGTCTGAGATGAAGACGGGGAGAGGAGGGGGTGGAGAAGTCAGGGAGGACTTTCATCCCTCCCTTGAAAACCCGCCGAAAGCTTTCTGCGAGTTTAACAACGCGGTTCCCCCACCCCCGAATTGCCAGCGGGGTGGCCTGCTGGGGGTCGCGGATGTAGGATTGATGGCTGGCAAAAGGACACGACCGGAACGCGAAGGAAGAATTTGTGAGCCCATGGGGGTGGGGGGTGGATCCTCCACCCCCCCACCCCGCCCCAGTACATGTGATATTTCAGCACCGCAGCTCTCACTTCTGTAAATGAGCCTTAGGGGGAAGAAGGAAGAAAAAAACAAGGCAAAACCCCCAACAACTAAAATACCTCGCTGGGAATCCCACCCTAGCTAGGGACGTCCCCTGGCGTTGTCCAGAGACCCGCCAAGCGTTGGACACATGTTGTTACTAGCGGGGCTTTCTGACCTGTTCGCTGTCACTTGGTAGACCAGCAGGTTCATTTTCCTGGCTAAGCTGGAAGGGTTTTTGGAGTGATGGGGGTGGTTCCCCCCTTATCCTTTTGAAGTTTTGATTCCAGACCCCGCATAGCAAGAACAACTCCTACTTCCTGTTATTTAGACTTCAGTTTCTTCTCTTACCTTTTCTTTAGTTTAAAAAAAATTATAATTTACTAAACATTTACTTCCCTTTTTACATCTTTTTGGCCAAGGTTGGCCAAATGTTTAACCGAAGTTATTCTGAGGCTAGAGAAGGGATTCAGGAAAAAAAAAATCCTCTGGATCGCCCCAAGGAAAGGGAAAGAGTGGGGCTGGGGGGATCTCAGTGGATCCTGAGGGTCACAAGTGTTGGTGTGAGCTAGCGCCGCTGCGCATTGGTGGGGTGCTCTGTTTCGGGTCTCTTTATGAAAGTTACATTTCTGGGTGAGGCAATGAGGAGTTTACCTGCGGTTCCAAGATAGGAGGAAGTCGTGTCCATGACACATCTAGGCTTTGGCGCGGGCGTTGTGGAAGCAGAAGTAAAGAGGGTTTAAAGCAGAGGAGGGTGCAAGTAAAGAGCCCTGGGAGGCAGCCAGGACAGACCCCCTACTTGGGTTTGGGCACCGTGTGGATTTCACTTTGTTTCAGGATCCGGGTGTCCTAAGCCACAGGGAGGGAGGGAAAGGAAGGACGCTCACTGGCGCCCAGCTAAGACAAGGTAGGTGGAGGGAGGGAGAGGTAGTTAGTAAAATGCAAAGGTCCAACGCCCACAGCTGGTTTTCAGTGTAACCCCTCCGCGACCTAGAGAACATTTAATACAACCTATACCCCACCTCCGGACCACAGCCCGTTTCTTTTTCCGTGCTCCGGGGCTGAAATTGATTTCTGGTTGGGCCACATTCGAGGACAGGTTTTTCCGCCACTGGGGGTGAGATTCTGCTTTCAGATCTTCATTGAGATTCTTCTGGTGCCCGCAGGATCCGATTCAATCCGGCACCGAGCTGCGCCCTTGTAACCAACGAGTATGACTCTGGCACCAGCGTCCAACCTTGGCAGATCCGGGGTACAGGAGCTCGGGGTCTCAGACCCCCGGTTTGATTGAATTGACCGGGTTGGCATGTGCTTAAATTTCTCCTTGTCGTGCCCGTGTCTTTTAAAAGAATGCGGTAGGACCACTCACCACTGTGTGTGTCCAGATTCGGGACTCAATCCTGGATGGCCAAGTGCACCTCCTTAAGAGACCCGACACAGCTGAGGCTCGGAGTGCAGTGCCAATGGCAGGCATTGTCGGAGGCACTCACTGACTTCCCTGCCTACCGCCCTTCATTTCCGGAACAGTTTTAATTGTGTGTGTCCAATAGGAAGAGGACCCCAAATCTGAGTTTGTGGAACTGCACATGCAGTTCATTTGGTCTGTCATCGCTGCATAAGCACTGATAATATTTGAGGCATGGCATGTTACCTGCTTAGAAGAGGGGGGAAATAGACATGAGCCATGAAAACTGAATTCAGAGAAAGGCACTGAAGTATGTGCTCAGCTTCCCAGGGAACAAGAATCTCATTATTCTTGTAGAAAGAGCGTCAGCCTGTGGTGGCATTTTGTATTGCTTTAAAAAAAAAAAAAGACTTTCCTTGATTATTTACAAGGCAGTGGAATCTGCAATGTGCAGTTAACTATTTCTTCACTTTAAGAGTCCTCTGTGTGTTCCCCTATGTGAATTTTTTCAGATTCATTCACTCTACAAGGTTCATTCAAAGCAGAGACACCGAAGTAAGCATACTGGAAGCTTCTCCTGCTGCCTCAGGGAGACATGAACACATAAGCTTATCGCAACAGGCCTTGGGAAAAACATAAACTCTTAATAATGTCCTCTCAGACTACCTGAGGTGGGGCTATTAAAAATTATTAATTAAAAAAACTGCAGGCTGCTTAGTCGTCAGTAAATATTGCTTTTTCCTTGATGCTTTATTTATTCCAATAGCAATTTACAATTTAATGAGGTACTATTTTCAGTTAAACTGCTTTTCTTGGCTTGGCTCAGAACCATCTGCCTTCAGGCACTTGAGCAAGTCATTCCGCCTTTTGGGGGCTCAGCTTTCTCACATGTAAGTGCAATGGTAGACTCAGGATCTACCCTGAGATTTCTGCCTGCTCAAAATTCTATTCCTAATTACCCACAGTAAAAGCTGATCTGGGCAAGGCCCATGCTTTTCCAGTTTTTATTTTTCTCATGTTTTCTGGCAATGTGGATGAGCACAATTCATGTATATAGTACTAGAAAAATGTCAGTGGATCCCAGTTGCTTATTTTCCATTTCCCCCCTACTTTTATAAGCTCACATTATCTTTGATTTCTCCTCCAGAGAGAGGTAGGTAGGTAGGTAGAAAGGTAGATGTTGATGTATAAAGTGATGGAGAGGGATTTGATTCTCATTCCAGGGAAAAGAGACCTCGACAAGAGAAAGATTTTTTGGTTTCAAAAAACTTCATGAGTGTAACCTATCCCTTCTGAAAATTGGCCTCTGTTCATATAAACTGTGCATGTATATTGTTCTGTAAACCATGCAGTACCTGGAAATGAACAAGGGCCTCCTTCATGCAAACCATGCAGCCAACTCATTGAGCTATCTCTCAGGACCAGGGTAATTTATCTTTATAAATATATTTTTGGAAGAGAGTCCTTGTCAAATCTTTACACATTAAAATTTATAAAACTCATAAAAAGCTTATAAAAAGTCCAATAAAATTCTTTATGTATGTTTAACTTTTTAGTTATGCCACATAAGAATGCTGTGACATTGAGGAAATTTTTTGTTTTGTTCTTTTTTTTCTCTTGTAAATTTTTTTCTTTGTATAAGAAATGGCCCTACTTTTAGTAAAATTAGTAATTCAGTTGATCAGCATTTAGAATTTTTCAAATTAAACTGCTGTATTTATTGAGATTTTTAGTAAAGTGTAAAACTGAATAATACTTTAATTCATCCCACTTAGTTATTACAATGAGCACTTTATTAAAGGAAGGGAAAATGCTTCTACCCCCCACCCCCTTTTTCTGTTTGCTCCTTCAGTTTTCATGCCAATAAACATAGCCTTTGCAAAACTGAGCACTCTTGAGTTGTCAACATTACTTGGCATATAAGATGGCAGCATTTTTATTGGATAGCATTTTCAGTGCTTTATATAATTATCTTGTCTCATATTCTCAAACTCATCTCAATCTGTTGTGGTCATTTATTTAGTATAAAACATCATCAAAGAGTTCTAGCTCCTTGACGCTCTTAAGTCAAGTAGACACATGCGTTATAGATCCCAGATATGCAGAGATCAGTAGGGGTGTAGTTATGACACAAGGCACCTTTGCACTTCTGTGTGTACATAAAACTTAAATTTTACTTCCCACAAGTTTTAATTATTCATTGTTACTTTTCACTATGGTCCATCTCATTTTTAAACACATAAGTATATGTGGCCTATTAGATGATAAGTGAACTTACTGGAATGAAAAAGGAAGTTTTCTTGGGAGTGATGGATGATGATGAATAAATATTATTTGAGAATTACCTTGGAATATCAGCATTTTATGTGGGAAATTATACAGGAAGGGCTTGGATTCACTCAGTTGTGAGCACTTTTTTTGCATGTGTTAGGCCCTTGGTTCAGTCCCTGACACTGCAGTTTTCCCCTGCACTGAACAAGGACTGCTGAGAGCAGGCCACCCTCCAAAAATCTCCAAGTCCCCTCATTTTTTTCTCATTAATTTCTTCATTAGGGCAGAATTTCCTGTGGAGAACAAAGTCAAGACTAAAATATTTCTTCTATGCTTAAGAGGTGTATGGAATATGTTTTGATACGGTTAAATCTTAAAGTCATTACACATATCCTCAGAGAAGGCAAAATATTACTATATATTTGGGGTTATTGATATTTTATGCTAGCCAAAGTCTGTATTTAGCTACATTCATAATTTCTTTGCTTTCACCTCCTGTATTGCTAGAGAATACCATATGTATTTAAGTTAGGTTCCCACTGTGCTGTGATTATTTCATAATC